GGCTCTAGAGGGAAAGCAGTCAAGCTGGAGTGAGGGTCTGAGGATCTCAAATAAAAAGGATATAATGTACGTACATTTCCCCATTTATTTTAAGATCCTCTTTTTGAGTGCCTTGTCTGTGCTGGTACTTCTATGTGTCACATTAAGAAATATAAATAAAGGGCCAGCCAAGTGGCTTAGTTGGTTAAGAGCTTGAGCTCTGAGCAACGGGATCGCCGGTTCAATTCCCACATGGGCCAGTGAGCTGCCCCCGAACTGAGCTGCTCCTGAGCTGCCAACAGGTGGCAGGATGACTCAGCTGGTGAGAGCACGTGCTCCTAACAACAAGGTTTCTGGTTGGACTCCTGCATGGGATGGTGGGCTATGCTCACCGGCAACCAAGATTGAACACAGCACCTTGAGCTGAGCGGCCTCGAGCTGCCAACGGGTGGCTGGATGGCGATTGGATTTGGAGCTGAGCTAGCTGCACCCTCCACTACTAAGATTGAAGGACAACAACTTGGCTGTTCCCCTTCCCCAATTCCCCAATAAAATCTTTAAAAAAAGAAAGAAATATAAATAAAATAGAATCCCTTCCCTTGATGAAGCAAACATATACACAAATAATTACAATGTAATAGAAAAAGCAATAAAAAGCTATGCACATACATTTTTAGTGAGGTGGAAATTTATTTGTCATAAGTACTGCAAGTAGCCCTTTTAGTGCCTCATGAATCTTCTGAGTGGGGGTTCCTTTATTAGGATGTATACTAAAAAATAAAGGCTAGATTATACGTACATTGTCATTGTGTTGTCTCAAGCAGTGATGTAAATGTGCCCAGCTATAGAGGGAGACCAGCAGTACCCCCATTAACATCTGTTTGCTCAAGTAAGTTGGTAAAGAGGACCAATTGAGGTTGAATTTCTTCCCTCTTTCAGGAGACTTCATGTCTCTTCAGGTTGTCAACCAGGAAAGGATCTGGTATGTTGCTTAACGTTTATTAACAAATTGCTTGCCTGTCCTTACTGTACCATTTCTGTCACCGTGTTACTTAAACACGTTTTTAATCTTTTAACTCCAACTTTAGAAGAGAATGATTTTTCTGCTGCTGAAGGGATTTCAGCAAACTGGTAGACAGATGTAGGAGATAAGAGAAAGGTAGTCTTTGAAATCTACGTCATATTAAGAAAAAACAATTTAAGCACTTTAGAGAGAATAAAAAGGTGATGAGAAGAGGCTAGGAGGGAATGACTTTAGAAGTATTTTGCTGTTAACCTAACCTAAGCCTTTCGTCTGCTCTGGAGAAAAAGCGAGGGAGTGGCTCATCCAATTACTGGTACTGATGGAGAATAATTCCTGGGAGCTGCACTTGGTGTCACTGGGCTTGTGCCTACTGTCATCAACTTCTTCCATGATACCAAGGTCTTCTTGATCTAGGACAGATAAGAGCAGCACTTCCTCTGAGATCCTCCCCATCTTCACTTGGCCCTTTCTCCAATCCTTGTTGAGTTCAGGCAGTGCTATGTTCACAAGAGCCAATTGTGAAAATTTCAAGAATTGTGTGAGGTAGTTGTTAAAGACAGCCATTATTAAAAACTAAATTATATTCACTTATAATTAAATAAATTGTATTAAAACAAAGATACTAAATATTCAAAGCTCCTCAGTCCTTAATTATTTTATTACATTGTTCTATTACGTATGGTCTTGAGGTAATTTATGTCTCATATCTATATGGTGGAAAATTATATAATGGTATGCTACTACTGTACATCTCTTTCCAACCCTGTGCTCTCCTGTGATGTCACATTGGTAGCTTAAAATTGGCATGGTGCTCCTCAGGAAGTTTACATCATGAAATCTACAAATGCTACAGATCAGGGCCTGATGTATTGTTTTGTTGATTGTTTAAACTTAAGAACATGATGGAGAAAATGTTAATAATGCAGATTAAACAAAAGTATGTTGTGTCTGTTAGGATTACATTCTGAATAGCACAAAAATTCAGGAAATATTTTTCTAGTGTTTGAAAACTATTATCTTATTCAGCAAATAATTCATTAAACATCACTGATGGGGGCGGCCCGGTGGCTCAGTTGGTTAGAGTGCGTGCTCTTAACAACAAGGTTGCTGGTTCCATTTCCACATGGGCAGCCCCCCCCGCCCCGCAACTAGATTGAAAACGGCAACTGGACTTGGAGCTGAGCTGCACCCTCCACAACTAGATTGAAGACAACTACTTGACTTGGAGCTGATGGGTCCTGGAAAAACACACTTCCCCAATGTAAAAAAAAATAATAAAAATTTAAATTTAAATTTAAATAAAACAAAAAACAACAGAAAAAATATCACTGATGAGTGAGTCCAATTCTGACATATGTATTTGCTGTTTCATTTTCATTTTTTTTTTAAAGATTTTTATTGGGGAATTGGGGG